CTGGCACCCCAAGCAATGTCAATCCAGGTAGTGAGTGATCAGCAGGATCCATGTCACACTTAGAGACCATCGTGACATGGAGAAAAGAAAGGGATAGTAAGTGTAACCATCTGATGGTGCCGAACAAGGTTCAGTGTCACTGGATGATGAGAACTCCTTTCTGCCTCTGCAGTAGCTAAGAGGATGGCTCTGCAAACCATCCCATGGCTAATCAGGTATATGCCACACTGGACCATTTATTTATTTATTGTATTTATATTCCACCTTTCTCACCCCAAACGGGACTCAGGGCAGATCACAATGAACAGATACACGGCAAACATTCAGTGCCGTTGACATACAAGACATACAGACAGATAGAGGCCATTCAGCAGTTCTTCCACTTTGGATCCTGGATCAGCCCTGAAATAGCAGACCAATGTAAATTGCCCAATGTCTAGAATTCTCTTAGTGACATATAAGTGTCCCTTTTGCACGAGGATATCCTTTCTCAGGCACTTCCAGTATTTATATTCCTTTCCGACTTTCATAGTGTCAAAAGCTGCTCCCTCCCAATGTACTGCAAAGGCCCTAAATCACCCTACATGGTCATTCTTTGCTGGTTCAGCCCCCCACCACAGGAACAAATGTTGTCTCCTGCCTCTTTAAAGTTATCAACTTTTGCTTTATACTATTTGGGGAAAGTATTCAACATGTACTTCATAGGCTGGATCTACACTGCCATATAATTCAGTATCTGATCCCAGATTATCTGCTTTAAACTGGATTATATAAATCTACACTGCCATATAATCCAGTGTAGAAAGAGCCAAATTCTGCAATTTTGTTACACCTGATTAAAGTAGACCAGCTGAACCATGGAATTTATGTTGTGTTGACTTCCCATGCAACATTTGGTCCAATGGATCTATAGTTGGGACTAGTCAATAGGATTCCAGCCAATATGTAAGGAAAGCCTTCTTTTTTGTACCACCACAATTGTGGATTACTCACTTGTCATTATATTCTTTTCAAGGGTCTGGAGAACAAGCCCTATGAGGAGTGGCTTAAAGAGCTGGGCATGTTTAGCCTGAAAAAGAGAAGGCTGAGAGGAGACATGGTAGCCATGTATAAATATGTGAGAGGAAGCCACAGGGAGGAGGGAGCAAGCTTGTTTTCTGCTGCCCTGGAGAAAGGAAATTCCATATGAACATTAGGAAGAACTTCCTGATTGTGAGAGTTGTTCAGCAGTGGAACTCTCTTCCTCAGCATGTGGTGGAGGCTCCTTCTTTGGAGGCCTTTAAACAGAGGATGGATGGCCATCTGTCAGGGGTGCTTTGAATGCAATTTTCCTGCTTCTTGGCAGGGGATTGGACTGGAAGGCCCATGAAGTCTTTTCCAACTCTAGAATTCTATGAGTCTATGAATTAAAAAATTGTTAGCCCATTATTTTAAACTAGTTGACTAAACCAGTTGATGTGAGCTGTCTCTTTATATTTCAATACAAAGTGTTATTTTACAGGGGTTATTTATTCTTGTAACATTTTTAACCATGTTTGGATTTCCTAAAAACTATTTTTCTAAGGCTGGGAAGCAAGCATTTAAATAAAAAAAAATCCAATCTATAATTCAGTTAACCAAGCGAGGGGGGGGGGGGGAGAAAACTTCTCGCTCCCATGTGAAATGTTATTTCAATGACAGGGCAAAGAAAATAAAAAATAAAAAGACATGTAACAACACAAGAAAATCACTATAGAAATGAAGAAACTCAGCGCTTCCAATGCTTAATATATCATAGAAGGGCTTGTATATAGCGTAGATACACTCTACACAGCTGGAGTAAAATAGCCTTAGGAAAGTTTCTCTTTCTGGTAGTCAATGCATGTTTTACTAAGCTTTTAGTTTGGCAGCTTACCCATCTTTACTTAATTACTGGTTTTCTGCTATGAATTAAATAAGGTATTTTGTGTAAAGCAAGCTTGTCCTTAAAGATTATCAAATAACAGCCGAGGCTCTGACAATGGCCCCACACATGGGAGTCAGTTCCCCATGGTGTAATCCCATGACATTCGGCAGTATGCATGAATATTTCAGCAACTTTGGTAGTGCTGGTTACAATGATCATCCAGTTAGTGATCATCTCATGTCAGAAAGAGCTCGCTGGAATTCATGATCACAGTTATGAATGCATTCGTAACTGATTCATATTTATGTTCCTTATATATTCACAATTGTGGCAATAGTGTAGGGCAGGCATCCTCAAACTGTGGCCCTCCAGCTGTTTTAGCCTCCAACTCCCAGAATTCCAGAGCATTGAACAAGCTGGCTAGGGCTTCTGGGAGTTGGAGGCCCAAACAGCTGGAGGGCCACAGTTTGAGGATGCCTGGTATAGGGAATACATAGGAATCATGAATGTTCCTTAGTCCTGCCTTTGTGGGCTTCTGTCAGTTCTCCTGTTAATAAGTACACAGGTAATTGACATTTCCACCCCCTCCTGATCTCAGGCACCATCTATGCTGCTTATTTGGCAGTGTAGACCGATATAATCCAGTTCAAAGCAGATAATCTGGATTTTATATGGCTGTGTAGATGGGGCCTCAGTGCAAGGAGGAATTGTGACAGGACTCCTGCTTCTGAGGGTCCTTCCAGGCAGGCCTCAATCCCAGGAGGAACTGGGATATTTTGAGATTGAGGTCCCACATCCATCCCAAAACCCGCAGTCTCCTGGGCTAAATGCCAGTGTGGCTAAATGCCTTCCCAAATCAATCAAAAATCCAACCCTTCAAACCTCTTGATGTATCATTTTCACACATCAGGAACCTTCACCATATGTCTCTGAGCGTGCAGCAAGGTCCCTCGTGAAAGTTTTTGAGGTAAATGGGTGGCTGGGAGGGGAGAATGGGGGCGCCATCCTGTTCTTTCAGGCTCTTGGGGATCACAGTAGGGATTGACCCCCAGGATCGGCAAAGTAATCCCAGGAGTCAGTCACCACAGGGCCCACACCTGTAAAGATCCAAACATTATATTAAGGTCCAGATCTTTCCAGGTATTTTATTAATTTAATTGATCCTGGAAAATCATAATTTACTCAGAATTAATTCAGGTTTACCCGAGGCATCATTTGGATGCCTAGGTAAACCCATGACATGTCCTGTGTTTTGGGCCTGTCTCGAAGGGCCCTGATTGTTATACCAGAGATTATTGGCAGGAGATTGACAGGAGTACCCCTTTGTTCATAGTGGCTAATGACTGGTAAGGTGAGACTTTTGGGGAGACTTAGGAATGTGACTGTCTTTATAGAGTCTATCCATTTGTAATGTGGTCTTCCTCTTTTCCTACAGTTTTCAACCTCAACCTTACCTAATGACTCATGTCTTCTCATGATTAGTCCAAAGTGTAACAGTCTCTGTTTTGTCATCTAGGCAGAGTTCAAGCTTGATTTGCTCTTTCACCCATTTATTTGACCTCTTTAGCAGTCTACAGTACACAGAAAAATCTTCATCTTATATCCTTATTCCTTAACTACAATTTGCACTATCCCATTCTCTTGTCTTGTTTACAGTTTGGCCATGTCTTGCAGCACTTGTCACCATAGGTAATTGGGTGTTATTCTGAGTTTTAAATTGTTGTTTTATATACTATTGTTTTCTATTTTTTATTGTACTGTGTGTTTATTTTATGCTTTGTTTTAGGCATTTTTTGTCAGAGAAACCAAGGTTGGGGGGGTGAAATAAGTACATTTGGGAGTTATGGCTAGTTGTATGGATGCATTTAGGGTAATATAACATCTGGGTGGAAAAAGAAGTTGAGAGTTCATTAGGCGCCCTGAGTTGCTTCAGGAAGATGGAGGTGGGGTACAAAAATAAAATTATTATTATTTATTATAATTATTAACATTATCATAATGACCATTATTATTCTATAGCACCACATTTCAAATTAGTTTTCTTCTTTAGAGCTTTCTCCCCTTCCCAAATTTCACAACAATACCAAACTAAGTAGCTGTTCTAGAATTTAGGCTGCAGTTTCTTTCACAGGAAAAAAGGATACATTTTGTGTATAATACTACAAATTGTTTTTGAAAATAGTGCTGTTTTTGAAAAGTTTCTCACAGCAAGGATACTTCCTAATATTATTTATTGCTTCCTTTGAGAATTAAATAAATGAAGAATATGAACCCTATTAAAAATTCAGCTGCCATTGACCAATTCCGAGTAAATCACTATGGCTGGATCTACACTGGCCTATATCCCAGGATCTGATCCCAGATCATCTGCTTTGAACTGGATTATTTCTATACACTTCCAGATAATCCAGTTCAAAGCTGATTATCTGGGATCAGATCCTGGGATATAGGCCAGTGTAGATCCAGCCTTTGTCATTGAGAGGTAATAGACATTGTTGAAGTAAGAGCCAGTAAACCTCCCAATGAACTCTCAACTTCTCTTTCCACCCAGATGTTATATTACCCTAAATGCATCCATACAACTAGCCACAACTCCCAAATGTACTTATTTCACCCCCAACCTTGCTTTCTCTGCCTCTTTAGGGACTAAACCTTGTGGTTAGAAGCAGTGTCACCTTTATGTTCTGCACGTCTCCAGAATACTGTTAGCACAGAATAAATGTTCACATAATAAGGGCAGCATCACTGCAGGACAATTTTTCAAGTGTTTTGGGATACATCAGTGCCATCTAGTGGAACACATCTTTATTTCTTCATAGGGTGTCAAATAATCAGTCTGTTTGACAAAATGAAGAATAGGATTATGAAGATTATGCTGAACAGCAAGTTCAGTGATAGATTTATGAAATTAAATTATATTGTAAAATCACTTTGGTTCTTCAGTTGCTTTGTCGGATAGTGGCAGAGAAAAGTTGTCTAGAAGAGGTCTGGGATGATTTATTGCAGTATGAAACAATTCTCATGGGTGTTCACTCACGGCTGGGTACAATTGTCTTCCAGAGGTAGAGTCTGGCGGTGGATCCATAAATGACTGGGAAGATCCATGCGGTCTGGATCCATGCGGTCTTTCACACCAAGGACACAGATTTCCAGATGGAAGGTGGTCATGACAAGGGTTTGCTTGATGTTCCTCTTGGCACATTTCTTCCTGTTCACCCTGTATTCATGTATCTTCAAAATCCATCGCATCATTGGTAACACCAGTCACCAACTGTTAAGAAAAAAAGTATGACTCATTTATTTCATCATCCCTAAAATCTTTTACAAAATGTTGGTGATGGACTCTTAACTCCTAAAGCTTTCTCCAAAAATATAATTTCAAAATTTTAAATATGTCTTTATTCATTGGCTGGTTTTTAGAAATAAACATTTGAAATAGATAAATATAGTTGACAAATAGATTTCTGAAAAAATCTATCGTACAGTTCCACTTGCCAGCTACACCTTCCTGTCAAGTATCTTACTCAGTGGCAAACCCACAACAGCTTCTGAAATTAATAATAATAATAATAATAATAACAATAACAACAACAACAACAACAACAACACTGTTGCTCAGATGATTCATTGGAACCTGTGCCACAAATAGCATCTGCCTGTGCCAAAGAACTTGTGGCATCACAAACTGGAAAAAGTTACAGAAAATGAACATGGAAACTACTCTGGGACTTCCAAATTCTGACAGACAGAGTTTTGGAGTACAATACTCCTGACCTCACAATTGTGTTAAAAAAACAGAGTATGGATTGTCGATGTTGCAATCCCAGATGACAGCAGGATTGAAGAGAAACAACTGGAAAAGCTGACACGATATGAGGATTTAAAGATTGAACTGCAAAGACTCTAGCACAAGCCAGTAAAGGTGGTCCCAGTGGTGATTGGCACACTGGGTGAAGTGCCTAAAGACCTTAAACACAATCGGTGCTGACAAGATTACCATCTGCCATCTGCAGAAGGCCACTTTACTGGGATCTGCACGCATTATTCGCCAATACATCACACAGTCCTAGACACTTGGGAAGTGTCTGACTTGTGAACCAATACAACTGCCAGCAGAGTGATCTTGTCTGCTGCGGACTCATCTTGTTGTATTTCAAATAATAATAATAATAATAATAACAACAACAACAACAACAACAACAACAACAACAACAACTTTATTTTTGTACCCCGCCTCCATCTCCCTGAAGGAGCCAAGCCCAATCAACATAGTTAAAATAACACATTAAAATTCATTAAAACAGCAACAATGAAAATTATAAGCATTCTTTGGTTGGACATGAAGTCATAGATCTGGAATCTTATTCAGAAAGCACAACTGCCAAGGGCCAGTAGTATCACAAGGATGAGGAAATGCATATTGCTCCAGATGATGGTGGACTATAGCCTGTCAGTATTGCTTCTGCTTTCAGTTGAAAATTTGAAGAACTTCACACTCCTCACTCTTTCCATAGTAGGCTATTATAAAGAAATAAGTGCTTTCTTTATCCTGTAACTTAGTTTGAGTCTGTTTACACAGGCCCAAAGTCATAGTTTGCCAGAGATTCTTGGGGAGGATTTGACACAACCCATGGCTTTTGCTAACACCATTCAAGGCTGAATCAACCTGAATTAGGTCCATGTATCCTTTAGCCACAATAGAGCCAAGTTGCCTCCCCCACTTTTGGGATAACTGGTCAGTGTAGAGGTGCTCTTAAAATCTTAATTTACAACCAGAGAATTAGGATTTAAGCATGACAGATTCATGCTTCAATAGTCCTGTTACTTTCAACTAAAGTCGACCCATCAAATCAATGACATTTGCCTACATGTTGATTTACAATTCAACAATTGATACAATGGATCTACTCTAGTTGGGTCTAATTAATTACATTGAGGACAATGTAAGGAAGGAGGAAAAAGAAAAGCTATGGCTGCTACATTCCCACCCACCCCCAATGCCAGAAGATATTGCATCAAATATTATGCAAGTTCACACCACAGATGCTCAGCCCAACTGTACCACGATTAGCACTCTACCTCAAGAGCTAAGATCTGAGTCTGTTGTGCTAGACACTTGGCTTATTGTCAAATTGCTGTAATTATATGATTTAAAAATTTAAAAAGTAATTGGATTAACTGGATTGTATTAGTTTAGCATAAGCTGGTTGGCTAAGAAATAGAGTGGATACCATGTTTCACTGCATTCAAGAAAGTAAATGAAGTATGGGGAAAATCTATTTAAGTGTCAAGAGATGTCAATGAAATCATTTAGAAGTGAACATATTGATGGTTCATACTCACACCTTATTCCCTCAGTTCTAAGTGTCCTTAAAGTCTTGGCAGTCGAAGTGGAAATCTGTGCAAAAAAGGAAAGAGGGTGTTACCCTAATCCAGGAAGTTCCTCAAACCTACAGAATATGTCTTTGTTTATGCTTCACACATTTCTATTTCGGATTTGATAGCAAGTGGATATTAGTGGTGTGCACAGTATTTGTTTCTTTTGTTTTATTTGTTGTTTTGTTCCTTTTGTTTTATTAATTGTGCATGAAACAGTAACATTCTCTAGGGCAGTGTTTCTCAACCTGGGGGTTGGGACCCCTGAGGGGGTCAGGAGGAGGTGTCAGAGGGGTTTGAAGCTGGGACGGTCACAGAATCTCCAGCATATCATGGAATTCTGGGTGCTGTGACCCAAAAAGAAAGCTTTAAATTGCCTTTTTCACTACAATGTGTGGCCTTTTCTCTTCTGCTGGCAACTTCCCTTGTTCTGGCATACACAGAAATGACAGTTCCCAAATTTCCAGCTGTCAGTGTCTGAGGACTGCAATGAAATTGACAAAATACAGAGTGATAACTGAATCAAGTCGATATGGAAATATTTGAGATGGAAAGATGATCCCTCTAATTTAAGATGAGGCAGAGAATACTTTGCAGTCAGGAATAGTTCTATCAAGTTGATTTCATTTAAACTGCCGGGTTCCATCCTATGGAATTCTAGGATTTGTACTTTAGTGAGATACTGGAGTTGCAGACCTCTGAACTCCTCTGAACTGTAGCTCTAGAGCTCCCCAACAAAGAACTTTAAATACCTCACTAAACTATACATTGCAAGATTCTGTAGGAACGGAGTCACAACTTTTCAATTATCAATTATATTTTGAGGCTGTCATTCCCCCCCCCCCTTTTTCCCTCAGTGTGAGACTTCACATGCAATGGAAAAGAAATGGATTGAAAGATCCAACCCCAGAATCAAACATGGGTCCTTTTATACTGATTTTAGATGCTTCCTGTTACAAAATGGGCTTCCTTCCAAAAACAACAGAATTGAAGCCAGGCTGAAGCTGAAATGTCACCGGGGCTTCGGGTTTCACAATAGCTATGGAAGAAAGAAAAGGAGAGTGCACCCATTAGGTCATATTTTATAAAAATGCTTAAGACAGGAAAGAATGGGAGGTGACAGCTCAAACTTCCAGTCCAAAGGAAGGTTTTAGAAGAGACGTTTTGAACTCTTCTTTGGGGTAAGGCAAGGATAGGCTACATTCTGCCAATAATAAAAATTTTGCTTGCAAAGCAAGTGTCATTTTCTTATAAAGCATGTATTTAAAATGGAAGAAAAAGAATAATAAAACACTCCTCTGAAAAATACCAGATTTTTTGTAAAGAGATCTTGATGGCATATGTATCCTTTAAGAGCATTTTTTTTAAACAACAACAACCTTTGACTATCTAGCTGAAACCAATAGTTTACATCTAATACCTTGTATGCTTGAAAAGTCAGGAAATCAAAATATTCCTTCGTCAGTGAAGCTGCTAATACTTTCTGCTGTACAGTCCAAAACATATTTTATTCAAAAGCATATATAAAGCTACAATTCCGAAAAGTGTCTGATTTTTTAGGGCTTCCGTGTTTACTTTGAGACAGGTGGCTCTACATCTCCATCAGAAAGAGTTGTATGATTAAAAAAGTCTTTCCAGTGCAAAGCAAATTAAACACTGTGATGAAGTGATTTGATCATTGGACTAGGGTTCAAATCCCTACTAGTTGTGAAACCCATTGGATGGCATTTGGCAAGTCTCACTCTTTCAGCCTCAAGGTGCATCTTTGCAGACCATACAATGCAGCTTGAAGACAGCTCAAGGGTGGGGTGTCCACAAAATGCACACCCTATAATGCACGTTGTTGCACACATTAAGCCTGAAACAGCATGTTAAAAAAGTGCACCAGAACGTCTGGTATAAGACAGATAATACACTGCAGCTGATCAGAGTATATTTCATGCAGAGTTTGAAACCGGCCTATGAAATTGTAAGCACTTGTCAAGATATCTCTAATGCTGACACATTTTTAAAAATACTGAAACACTCTGGCCAGAAAGTAAATAAGTACTCCCCCAGCAGCAGGCATGTAGCCGGGGAGGGGGGGGGCTTGAGGGGCTTCAGCCCCCCCCCCCCCCAAATTCTCATGGTGGTCTGCGAGAAGGCCTTACTGATGCATTATTTAAACTGTTATGTTTATTCATATCATGATCTGATCACCATGCTCAATATATCCGATATGCATGGGGGTATTGGGGTAATGATACAAAAGGTTTGCTAGGGTAGACCCTCTTTCACTCAGACTCAGCCCCCCCCCCCAAATCAAACTCAGCCCCTCCCAAATCAAAACCACATCATTACCATGGGGACTCTCTTTATGTGCTCCTTTGTTATTATTTCCTGTATCCCACTGCAGTCAAATGCTGATCCTGAATGGACGTGGTGATGTGCATCTATGCATCTCAACAGATGGGTTAAAGAACGTGATTCCCGGGTTCAGTTTGATCCACAACCAGTAGCTACTAGAGGTGTGCAATTTGGCAAAAACCTGTACTGTTTTTGGTGCCTGGTTTTCGGCTGTCCCCTTATTCCATTTTTAGGGAACTTCCCAAATTTGGAAGTGGATTCTGTTTTTATTCTGGAAAGATTCGGTCCATTGCTGTCAATGGGGAAAATTTAGAGGCTCATTTCTCTGTCATATTTAGGCTTACTAGCATGAAACTCACCTCACTTGTAGGCCACATGTACTTCTGCAAGCTTGCCAATTTTCAGAATGTTTCACCAATCCACTAATGTTTTGGAAATTTTTCAAATTTTTATCATAACATTTTAAAAAAACAACACAGTTCTGGGAACGGAAGTCCCCAGTGCACACCACAAGACGGGAGGAGAATGGATGGACAGAGAAAACCAGGCCTCTGATTGGCTGAGAAAGAAAGTGGGAAACACACTCACAGGGAAACCTGCCCACACACCCCTCAGGTAGAGTGTCGCTCAGCCCCATTGGCCCCCATATTAGCCACCATTTGCTCAAAAGATCTGGATGCTGTGATCTGTACTGTCTATGGCTTCAGTTGCCCTGAGCCATGCTCGTTTTCATGCATTCGGCAACTGAATCTGCTAAATCATTCAAATCTGGTACAAAAAAACAAAATTGTTTACACCCCTAGTAGCTACCATCCCAGCCTATGGTGTTTATGTAGGTGCTACACAGCAAAAATGGTTTGTTTTCATCTACCTCCAAACTTCATAATAGCATCACTGTGGGAGCATCCTCAGATGAAGATAAATAAATCCCCAAACAAATTTTGTCAAGAAAAATCTGAGATAGTTTTGCCTTAATGTTAACATAGGTCAGAAATAACGAAGGCATAAAACAACAACAAATATAGAGTTAAAGATAATTAAATGCATGTAGCATATTTTTTTATATCCTACTGAAATATTACATTCCAGTAAACTAGATCTAATAGTATTGTCTATTCAAACAGATTATTTGGCAAAATCAACACTAATTTTAAAATCCACAATTGATCTGGGCTTAGTAACAAAAATTTCGCTGCTTCCTGTTTTGAGCATCAGCTGTTAATTTTAACACTCTGCCCAGGACAATATTCTTCTACATTCTCCAAAGCCTATAAATAAGGAAGGGAGATTAAGGGCTGATTTAATTAAGTTAAAAGCTTCATGAGGTGCCAGCTTTCAAAATAAAACTGGAGAAAGGCTTCAAAATTTATCCTCAATTTCCAGACATGGCAAACTTTCAATGTCTGTACTGCAGAGCTGGGAAACCAACCAATCTGCCTGGATGGGTCAGGAAAATGTCTAACAAGATGAGTTCTGGAATGAAGACAGTATATGTTTTATTACATTTTATAAAGGAAGGAAGAGAACTGAAAGATGCCGTGACAGCCCTCTGCTAGGCTAGCCTTATCACTAGGCAGAAGTTACGGGTTTATTAGATGCTGAGGGAAATTGGTGATAGCTTCTTGAACTCTTCAGATGTTTGCTTATGAAAAGAACAGAGCTTTGTATACCACTTGGTCTTATCCTCGCCTTTAATAATAAGGTGTGATGGAAGACACTTTTTCAAATGACAAAAGTTCGACTAAGTTTCAAATGTCAGTCCAGGTATCTTCTGTGTGTTTGCTGGGGAAGGGGATTCCATTTTGTCCTTCACCTCAAGTCACAAATGGCTATGCTTTATTCTTCTCTCTAGAAAACCTGAGAGGTGGTCGCTCACTCCCCTGACACCCCCCCCCCCCAAATCTATCTGTCTGTCTATCTCACTGGTTCTCAGCCTGTGGACCCCCAGATGTTTTGGTCTACAACTTCCAGAAATCCTAAAAGCTGATAAACTGGCTGGGATTTCCGGGATTTGTAGTGCATAATACCTGGGGATCCACAGCTTGAGAACCATTGATCTATATGGAGATCCTTGGATGCATTGTCATTATTAAAACATCATAAATAGCCTTTCAATCTAGCAGAAAGCTTCAGTGTGAGAGGAAAATAGGCTAAAAATAGAGCATTATATCAGATGAAAGCAAGGTACTTATTATAGAAACTAGCTGAAACTAGCGAACGTATTGGTAATCCCAGGACACTTTTTTGACCATCTGAACACTCCATTTGTGTGTCCCTGCATGGCAGGAGGTTGGAATGGATGGTTCTTGTGGTCTCTTCCAACTCTATGGTTCTATGAAAACTCAGCAACACTTTCACTGCTCCATAGAATGGCCTTCAACAAATCCACAGGTCATAGCAAAATCCATAATTTTGGCCTCAAAATTTGCCCTTGACTTATACTTGAGATTGACTTATAGACAAGTGTTTAAGTCATGTTTGAAGTACAGCTGTATCTCACTGTAATTGATGAAGCATTACATCAGAGAAGTAGGCATTTCCTCATGCAAATATATACTCTTGTAGATAAGTTTAAAGAATATAGCTCACCCAATTTTTTCTGACTGTTGTATGCTGAAATTAAAAATTAAACAGATATCATCATGGCCTGCATTTTTGACCCCTTTAAGATATTGGAAGGAGCATGTTGGTTAACACGGACTTTTGGTTTTACCCAGCAACACCATAATCATGTTCTTATTTTAATTTTTATAAATGGTTAGAAAAATCCTTGTTCAGCTTATGTATCAAGGGGTACCTCTTTGTTCCACTCCATATTGTACAACTTGTAGATACCTGGCCTCTTTCAAACCCTTTCCTGATCATGTAGAACAATATTTGTATACACGATCCATATCATAGTTCTGTGCAGACACCTGTTAGAAGAAAATGCAGTGACTGATGGAAGGACACTTGTGTACACTGTGAATCTCCTCTTTCAATCCCTAGACAATGCCCAGTTTTAGTTATCTTAATACGGCTTTTTTCTTACAAATGCAGAAGGCAGTTTACTGAAGTGATTACTAACAGCTATCTGGATACATTCTACTTTCATGTTTTCCATTGAAATAATGTATTTTTTCCCTCTTGGAAACATGCCTTTCCCTACCTTATTTTGAAGACTGCCATCAAGTGAGTGGGCTCCAGACATTCTGTAAAGTGTAGAAGGTGTCATGTCAACATGTTCTGGAGATTATCTGCATGAATCAGATGTCTGAAAGCATCTTCAGCATGTAAAATGAAGCGTTACTCATAACAGGAGACAATTTCTACTGACAAAGTACATTCAAATTAACCTCCCTCCTGCAACTGCCCATGACAATAATGTGTTTTGAAACCCTGTGCCAGGTCTCCCAAGGAGAAGCGAATGACAGGAAGACAGTTTTGCTACTGATTAGGAAATGCCTCAAATTAATATATCTTTATATATTTCTACAAGAAAGATCATGGGAGGGGGAAATGTGTTCTCTCTCACTTAAAAGCAAAAACAGCTTGCTTGGACAACCTGCACTTTTGCATTGGGCAAACTAGGTGAACTGTAGAAAAATGTTATCTAACTCTATGACCCATGCAGTCAGGATCAGATTTGCAGTAGGCTTCTACTTTGGAGAAATGGCCTTTTAAATTATTCCCATGGGATGTAAATATGGAGAAACCTGATATTGCAATATATCATGCATGCTGAGATGTGCCTTGCTCCATACATGATTTTATGAACTGAATCTGAAAGTACCCAGATTCTTGAGACTGACCACTGAACATGATGTCATCCAATGCAAGATCTTCACATATGTGAATTTGCATGTATTGTCACTTTTCAGGTTATTCTCTGGCTTTAACACAGACATGGGCAAATTCAGGCCCATGGGCCAGACATGACCCTTTGGGTTCTATGCCCCGGCCTCCATCTGCTTTGGCCTCCCTTTCAGTACGTGGATGCAGTGGCCCATCACGTCTCCAGGCTGAGAGGAGGGCCGAGGCAGACACACAGCTCTTCCAAGTACTCTCTGGAGAGCACTTAGCAATGGTGTGTTTGTCTCCCTCCCCTGATCCCAGGGGAAGATAGGCTGCTGTTTTCCCAGATCCCAGAAAAGAGCTGAGGAGAGGAACACATTGTTGACAATTGTGCTTGACAGTGACGTGTTTGTCTCCCTAGAGACAGAACCACCCCTTCCCTCTACCAGCCCCTCTAAGGCTCTAGCTCTTCCAGCCCACAACCCTCCCCGCTTCTGGACCACCACCCTGACTTTTCTGCCCCCCCCCCCAAACACACACACACCACCTCCCAACCCAGCCCTTACAGCAAGGCCCATAAAGCGGCCCCAGGGCAAAAAAGTTTGCTCATGCCTACTTAACACATCATATTAAAACAAGTGAATCAGAGGTTTGCTATTGTGTTCCTCTTTATAAACAAATAAATTCTAATAGTTTTCATCTGTACTGGGAGTTGCTGTTGTGTGCCCTTAAGTTGTTTCTGATGTAGGATGACCCTAAGGGAAACCAATTACAGAGTTTTCCTGAAAATATTAGTTTGGGGATGGGCTTTGCCTTTGCCTTAATCTGGGGCTGACAGTGTATCATTAAGTGGGTTCCATGGCTAGTGGGAATTCAAACTCTGGTCTCCAGAGTCATAGTCCAACACTCAAACTATTGCATCATGTTGGCTCTTTCATTAGGAGTAGCCTGTTGTAAAGGTAATGCACCCTGCATGGAATATACTCTGATGGGCTGTAGCACATCACCTGCTTGTTCTGGACTTTCTGGTGAGTTTTTAATGCTCTGTTTCCAGTTTGATGTGTACTGCAGTATGTATGGGGGGTGTACTTTTGCCATCTAATCCATACCATCTATGTTGCCTGTAAAATATTGGGAGTTGTAATTTGAATGATTGACTTTTCCACCTAGTGTTACCCTAGTCTTGATGTGTTTAATGAAAATGTGCTCAGCAAATAAGTATACTGTCTTGCCTTTGAGCCTTACTTGGCACATGCCTCTTCTGGGATTTAATCTTCCAGATAAAATGAAGAACTAAGAGGCAAAGATGGTGCTGTATAGCATGTTATAAATCCTATTTATGTTTTTTGAGCTTTGAGCTGAAGATGGTTCAAAACCAACCTCCTGCATTCCCTCCCCCCCCCCCTTTTTTTTTCCACATATGCAGCCTAACCTTTGGAAACATTCCATTTACATCAGCCTAACTTTGGAAAAAAATATATACATGGGAGCTCCTCTTCCAGAAAACTGTCTCAATGAACTATGTGGATGGATGTAGAATTATTTCCATTGTGTCTGTATTTGTAGTACCAGTTAAGCCTCCCTTACATATAATTTCAAAATACTCCAAAAACCAAAACTTTGCTGTCAACCATCAACTTCTTCTTCTGGGGAAAGGGAGCTAGTCACACATTCAGTGGCAGCTAATTTTTTCCTCAAGGAGAGGGCAAAGAGACTCCAGGGAGCAGGGAGGACTTAACTAAAATGCAAACATCCCAAAACATGATTCTTTAGGTAAAGGTAAAGGTTTTTCCCTGACAATAAGTCCAGTCATGTCCGACTCTGGGAGTTGGTGATCATCTCCATTTCTAAGCCAAAGAGCCAGCATTGTCCGTAGACATCTCCAAGGTCATGTGGCCAGCATGACTGCAATAGGTACTGCCAGAGCAGTACCTATTGATCTACTCATATTTGCATGTTTTTGAACGGCTAGGTTGGCAGCCGCAATTCTTTATGAATAGTTTTTCTTTACTAGACAAACTATTTCACCACACCAGAGGATGAATCCACTATAAATCCAGTTTCTGCCTCCTGCAGAATTCTGGGATTTGTAGTTTAGGGAGGAGCATTTAACAGCCTCACTGAACTACAAACCCCAGAATTCTGAAGAAGGTAGAAATCAGATTTAAAGTGGATTCATGCTTTAATGTGATGAGACTGAAAGAGTATGTCTTTTCTAGTATCCACCATTCAGTAAAAAGACATCTTACCGCATCCAGATTCTGCACCTCATCAGAAATCCAGAGAACTCAGGGGAGGACGAGTATTTCAGATAGGTATTTTTACTGTGCTATTGTGAGGCATCTAGGCTCAGATACCTCTTGAATTATTGCCTCTTTTCCTCCATAGTATGTATCACCAAATAAAGCATGCAAAGGAATGATACAACTATAAATGGTGCTGTTCACCATTTATACATTCCTGAGAAAAGACTGTAGCCTTGCTATTTATATTGTATACTCATTTCTAGTAAATACAGAATTAACATTCCTTCAATTACTTATCTGTATAATAAGACTTAACATTTTTTCCAGGATCTATAGTTCTTAAGGCATTTGATCTCAGCAGGTTTCTGTTGTAAACATGCTTTTTCTTGCTAGGGCAACGCTAATTTCCAGAAGCCATCAAACCAAATTATGCCAAGATTGATAGTCCAGCCTGCCATGGAGAGAGAGAATTAGACTATCTATCACTATCCTCAACAACACAGAGTTATGCATGCATTTGCCAACTGCATAGCAGATGGGTTCGTTTTCCTAAGCTATAGATACAATTTTCCATTATATACATACACCGTGTGACATCTAATTAAGGGATAAAAATTACTCCAGATCCTTAAAAGCACAAATCCAAGCAAGCAAGTTTGCATTAGGGAAAGAATGCAATGCTCTCTGAAAGGTTAATGTCATAATGAAAATGCAGTAGGAATCCAGCTGAGTGATTTCTACAGCTTTCAGAGATGGCTTAATGCAGCTTGGCTATTCATTGCATATTTTAACCATCCTTTCATACACAAACAGTGAAGGTGGTTAAAAAGAATTTGGTGCAGGGTGAGAACATGAAATGATGCACATTTGAAAGTGGTGAAGGAATGAAGCTTTTAATTTCTGTGAGATAACGGTCTGCATTAACTACTCTACTACGAAGCAGCATATGTGTTGACAGTAAGGATATAGATCTTTTATTTTCATGTTCTTTTTAATCGCTTTAGCTCTATGAGCAAAATGCTGGTTGAAAGTTTAGAAAAGATGTTTGTATCAACTTCACATTTCCATACATAATATTAATGGTAGACATTAGTTATTTAAAAAAAATGTGGAACTAGTGGCAAAAATAACTGAGACCAGAAGTCTGTGTTGCTCCAGCTCACCTTTACTGTCCTCCCTGTACTGATGCTGGCAAACCCCTCCTGGCTAGAGAGAGGATGGGGAGGATAAGGCAGGCTGAGGGCATGAATAGCTGTTGGAAAAAGAGGATTCACCATCACAGTTTTTTTGATGATGATGATAATAATAATAATAATAATAATAATAATGACATCACGATTGTGGAAAAGAAAAAAGTCTGGATTATTGATGTTGCCATACCAGGTGACAGTCGCATTGAGGAAAAACAACAGGAAAAACTCAGCCGTTATCAAGACCTCAAAATCAAACCAGTCCAGGTGGCATAAACCAGTCCAGGTGGCCCAGTGGTGATCGGCACACTGGGTGACGTGCCAAAAGATCTCAGCCGGCATTTGGAAACAATAAACATTGACAAAATCTCGATCTATCAACTGCAAAAAGCCACCTTACTTGGATCTGTGTGCACACACACACTTGGAGTTTGACACCCCTGCTGTAACCACTACACCAAATTATCTCTGACATCTACTTTGCCCAACAGAGTCGGCATCTCTTAGGAAGACTGGTGCTGAATTTGTGGATTAAAAAAATGTGTCTCAAAATGACAAATGGTAGAATAAAAGAGACATTAGTGTTCTGGGTTTAATGGAGATGTGTGATTTGCAAGGCTTGTTTATTGCCCCAACGAGTGAATAATATATATAAAAGCAACACTTAACAGAGTGTGGACCTTTGAAGGTACTATAATTTTTACATTGGTGAATCCTGCAAATTCAGCAGTGTAACATTTGGAGATGTGACCCTTTTGTCCTTACATACTATTCTCAGTAGTTGATAAAATGAAAGTGCTTTCCTTTTGTGGAATAGAGGCAGCTGTTTTCCCTCTGCAAGTACTGAAGAAACAAGTTGCTTGGGGGAAACAACACCTGATCCTCTTACTTCTTTTAGCCTAGTTTTGAGTCTGCCACTGCCTTTAGGAGGTACAAATATTGGATTTATGGTTTGTGGAATCCAACAGTTTCCTGATAACACAGTCTGCCTTCTACACACTCAGAAAGTGAAGCACATGGAGCAATTTGGAACAATTGTATTTGATCAGCTACTGGGACTGTCAGTGTACAACTCCAAGATATCACGGTTTCTTAGTACTTGGACTGTGGTAGCTGGCTGCTTAACAATAAGGATATCAGATCACAGCTTCAACCATCCCTTTGCAGTAGGACAGGTTATGGTCATTTCATTCCTGGCCAGGTTATTTACCAAGGCCTGTTTCTATCTCCCTCCCTGTCTGAAGTCCTGCTTTCATGAATGGGGTCTATATCCTGTACATATGAGTGTGAAATTCGATCCTACCATTTCTACTGTTTCTTTCATGTCTTCCGTTTCTGGAAGTACTGTTTTGCAGTGGCTCCAGTCATTCCTAGAGGGTCGATCCCAAAAGGTGTTACTGGGAGACACCTGTTCAACTCCACAACCTTTGTCTTGTGGGGTTCCTCAGGGCTCAATATTGTCCCCCATGTTGTTTAACATCTACATGAAGCCGCTTGGAGAGATCATCCGGAGTTTCGGAGTACAGTGTCATCTGTACGCAGATGATGTCCAACTCTGTCACTCCTTTCCACCTGCTACTAAGGAGGCTGTCAAGGTCCTGAACCGGTGCCTGGCCGCTGTGACGGTCTGGATGATGGCGAACAAATTGAAATTGAATCCAGACAAGACAGAGTTACTCCTGGTCAGTCGCAAGGCCGAACAGGGCATAGGGTTACAGCCAGTGCTGGATGGGGTCACACTCCCCCTGAAGACACAGGTTCGCAGCTTGGGTGTGACCTTGGACTCATCACTGAGCCACGGTAGTCCATGCTCTGGTTACATCCTGATTAGACTACTGCAACGCTCTCTACGTGGGGTTGCCTTTGAAGACAGCTCAGAAGCTTCAACTAGTCCAACGTTCGGCAGCCATGATACTAACAGGAGTGGCACGCAGGGAGCATACAACCTCTCTGTTGCGCCAACTCCACTGGCTGCCAATTTGCTACCGGGCTCAATTCAAAGTGCTGGCATTGGCCTATAAAGCCCTAAACGGTTCCGGCCCAAGTTACCTATCCGATCGCATCTCTGCCTATGAACCCACTAGGACTTTGAGATCTTCCGGGGAGGCCCTGCTCTCGATCCCGTCTGCAACACAGGCTCGGTTGATGGGGACGAGAGACAGGGCCTTCTCGGTGGTGGCCCCTCGGCTGTGGAACGCCCTTCCCACGGACATTAGATTGGCTCCATCGCTAATGGTATTTCGGAGAAAAGTGAAAACCTGGTTATTTGAACAGGCGTTTGAATAGGCAGTGCAATGAATATAGGAACGGAACAATGGATGATGAGTTTGGATCATGTTTTCAGTTATGAGATGCCAGTGAATGGTTATTGTCGTTAATTGATTAGTCTGTTATTGTGTTAATTGTTTTTAATATCTTATTGTTGTCGCATTGAATTTTTGCTGCTACTGTTGTTAACCGCTGTGAGTCGCCTAAGGACTGAGAACAGCGGTATACAAATAAAGTAAATAAATAAATAAATAAATAATTTACTTATTTATTTACAGCATTTTTACCCTGGGGCGGGGGGACTCACATAGGCAGCAATTCGATGCCACAACGAAAACAGCAGTATAAAACATAAATACATAGCAGGTTAAAAACAGTAACAGTTATATCATCACACCATCACATAACCACATATCCGTTTCACAGGGGTTTAGCTCTGCAGGGAAAAATAAGGGGTTCCGACCAAATTTTAGTCACCCAAATGAAATTTTCCATCAGTTCCCAAATTTTTAACATTGCAAGGAATGAGATGTTGAAAACTGTTTCCACCTTGATTGATGTGTTCATTTTTTTTATTTATCCATACAACAGAATAATGAAGGGGAGTGTGCGGGGGGGGGGGGATTAGTGTTCTTGCTACACATTACTAACCATTGTGCATTTATTCCAGCATGACTTTCCCTTCCTAACTTGCTGTTATTACCATTGTCAACAAGGAGCATTGGGCTTTCATTGTGATTTTTAAACATTATCAAACAGAAGGAAAGACAGGCAGCTGGTATCTTTTGAAAATGTAGTCCTCAGCAAAATCTTGGAGCCTCTTAAGGCTCCTTTGGTGCAGCAATAAAGGAAGTGATACGACAGAGAGCTACGGTAAAACAAAGTTGCCATCAATTATTCATATCATAAAATCTAATTGTATATAGAAGATAGGGTGTATTGAAAGATGATGAGGAGAAAAGAGACGTGAGATAAATTGAGAATAGCTATCCATCTGGGCTTTTGAGGGGCTTTATGATGACCTGGATGGAGTGAGTGGTACATTTTCTGCTACTTTCAATTCTCACGGTTTCTAGCAATGTCTGTAACATAGTACAATAGCAGAAGGATTTACCTATTCACACTTTTATTCAGTTCTAAGCCCAAAACAATGCAATGATAGTAGTGTTGCAATTTTCTTTAAAATGATTGCCTTAGATCAGTGGTTCCCACCCTTTGGTACTCCAGGTGTTTTGGACTTCAGCATCCATTATTCCTAACAGCATTCTTTTCTGTTTAGCCTACAGAAAAGAAGGCTGAGAGAAGACAGGATAGCCATGTATAAATATGTGAAAGAATGTCATACAGAAGAACTAGGAGAAATAGATTCAAATTACAAGAAAGACAATTCCAATTGAACATTAGGAAGAACTTCCTGCTGGTATAAGATGTTCAACAGTGTAACTCCCTGCTTCAAAGTGTGGTGGAAGTTTCTTCCTTTGAGTCTTTAAACAAGGGTTGGATGGCCATCTGTCAGGGTACTTTGTGTTTTTTCTGCATGGCAGGGGGTTGGACTATGTAGTACCTTCCAACTCTATGATTCTAAGGTTATATACAACATGCTGCAATAGTTAATATTTTCCACAATAAAATGGTAGGAGATGCACTAAATGTAGAATATAGATTTGTTTCAAATGACAGGTCTACACATTTCCCTTGAGAAAAAGCATTTGTCATAAAAATGCTTTGAGTCATGCTGTCAATAA